ATAATAATAATAATAATAATAATAAATGTTTATTGAGCAGCAAATCAGTTTATTAGAATAATTAATCTGAAGGATCTGAAGCTATTACGGAGTCTACAGAGGAAGTGTGCAAATCCATATGCAAAGCTTTTATTAAAAGACATGGTCAAAAACAGGCAAGGGTCAGACAGTGGCAGACAGGTATATTGGGACAAGACAAAAGAGTAGTCCAGTAAACAGACATAGGCGATCTCCGGCGAACAATGTCCAAACAGGTTAATCCAAAGGGGTAATCCAAAACACAGGCAATAGTTCAGGCGAGGAGCAAACAATATCCAAATAGGGCGAGACAAGGAATAATCCACGACAGGCAGTAGTACAGGGCGAAACAGACAATGAACAAGACTAGACTAGACTTGAGAACTAGGACTGAGAAATGGCTCCATAATGTAGCTATCGCTAACACAGTGATAGACTCTAAACAATACTCAGCCCTGAACGGTGGTTATGGCCTTGTATTTAAAGTGTGTGTGATTGGCTGCAGGTGAGTGCATAATCAGTGCAATGGAACATGGGAAATGTAGTCCAGGGTGACGTGCAGCAGTCTGTGTAGCGTGAGAGTCAACATAATAGGAAGGGCAGAGCAGGGAGCCAGGGCAGAGCCGACGGAGCAGGGAGCCAGGGCGGAGCTAGGGTGGAGCCAGGGTGGAGCAGGGAGTCAGGGCGGAGCCAGGGTGGAGCAGGGAGCCAGGGCGGAGCCGGCGTAGCAGAGGACCTCCATGGTGGGCTAGACTGATCAGGAGACCATGGCAGAGACTGAGAACCTCTGCAAATTATGTGTCAAAATATATTGTGAGTAATTACTGTTGACACTGAACTGCTTCCACACACTGAATCACTGTAACAAACGTAAAGCTATTATTTTGAAAATTATGTTGTTGTGAGAAATCAGATCCTCATGTCATGGCGAAGAAGAAGACAAACCTCAGGGATTTAATATGAGCAGAAACACTAAGCACTGTAAATATGTCTGCTTTCAGAGCGTCTGAGGCGTGTTTCATACATCTGAGGAGTTTTTAGGGCTTGTACAGACAGTAATTTCTCACACTGACAGCAGTGCAGTGCTTTTAAAACCACAGCGGCCGGCAGAGATTGAGAGACGAGAGACGCTCCATAACTCTGCTAAGCAGCTCTGCCAAATAATGGCAGAGACCTTCTGCAGCCATCTCTGGAGAAACTGCAGCGGGCGCCATCGTCTCTGGGGACACAGCAGCGAGTGCCACTACCTTGGGAGGTTCTGCAGTGTCAGCCGCCACCTCTGAAAAAAATCATAGTGGACGCCGCCGCCTCGGGGGGTCCTGTGGTGGTGTATGCAGCCTAATTACCCCATAAAGCGATCAGCCCAATTATCCCATAAGACGATAAGGTGTGACGTGACGAGACTCTGGACGTTCAGCTGTGACGTGACGAGACTCTGGACGATCCACTGTGATATGACGAGACTCTGGACTTTCAGCTGTGACGTGACGAGACTCTGGAAGATCAGCTGAGACGCGATGAGACTCTGGAAGATCCACTGTGACGTGACGAGACTCTGGAAGATCAGCTGTGACGTGACAAGACTCTGGAAGATCAGCTGAGATGCGACGAGACTCTGGATGATCAGCTGTGACGTGATGAAACTCTGGACGATCCGCTGTGACGTGACGAGACTCTGGAAGATCAGCTGAGACACGACGAGACTGTGACGTGACGAGACTCTGGAAGATCAGCTGAGACGCGACGAGACTCTGGAAGATCATCTGAAACGCGACGAGACTCTGGAAGATCAGCTCAGACGTGACAAGACTGGACGATCAGCTGAGACGCGATGAGACTGGACGATCAGCTGTAAAGTGACGAGACTCTTGACGATCAGCTGAGACGTGAGGAGACTCTGGACGATCAGCTGTGACGTGACGAAACTCTTGATTGTATTCCAGTGTAAATTATTTTAGTACATCAGTTTAAACAAATGAGAAATGTTGCCTTGGCAGTAAGCTGAAATAAAATTGTATTATATTATATAACTTTTGACCGGTAGTGTACAATATTTGACAGATGAAGAGCTGTTGATCATAAATAGACTATTTATGATTAACTACTCTTCATCTGTGAAACACTGTTTACTGTTTATTTAAAGAAGTGTGTTCTAGTGAAGAACTGCTCTGTTTTACAGTGAATGTGATGCAGTTTTCTCACAGCTGATCGTCCAGAGTCTTGTCACATCACAGCTGATCATCTAGAGCGATCAATGCTATCTCTGTGTGACGAATCATAAGGCCGGTCGTAATGACTCATATGTCATATTAGTTATTGGGTTAAGTGCTGTTTGGCAGAGCTGCTTAGCAGAGTTCTGGAGCGTCTCTCGTCTCTCAATCTCTGCCGGCCGCTGTGGTTTTAAAAGCACTGCACTGCTGTCAGTGTGAGAAATTACCGTCTGTACAAGCCCTAAAAACTCCTCAGATGTATGAAACACGCCTCAGACGCTCTGAAAGCAGTCATATTTACAGTGCTTAGTGTTTCTGCTATATTAAATCCCTGAGGTTTGTCTTCTTCTTCTCCATGACACGAGGATCTGATTTCTCACAACAATATAATTTTCAAAATAATAGCTTTACGTTTGTCAGTGTGTGGAAGCAGTTCGGTGTCAACAGTAATTACCCACAATATATTTTGACACATCATTTGCAAAAGCTAGAAAACAGTCTGATAAAACTAATTTTACAAGAAATGTGACTTTCTTTGCTTACTTAAAAGCTTTGTAACTTAATTTAAAACTAATGTTTTTTAATATAAATTCATGACAGAGACACAGATCTTTTTTTCTGATTATTTAGCTGAAAGATTCAGAGAGCCACACGTTTGTAATCTTATATCACTAATAACTACAATAAATTGTTCCAGTTCTGGTTTAAATAATCACACACACACACACACATAGTTTACCTGCCCTTGTAAAATATTTATAAACAGTAGTAACATCAGGAAATTATATTCGATTAATTTAGTATTTTTTTATTCTTTCTTTCTTCCTTTCTTTTAGTATTTTTATAAGAAATAATCACTTCAAGAGTTTTAAAGAGGTTTTCCTCTCGAGGATTGAGAAAGCAATCATATGTGATACTGATAAAACATTTTAAGATTTTGCAAAAGTCAAAAGTGTCCTTAACTGAAGAATCACTGTATGCTGTGTACAGTAGTCTTTAAATCACACAATCACAGCGTTCAGATATTAAACAGCTTTACTGTCAGTGAGGTTTTGTTTTGCTGTTGCTCTTCGCTTGACATTAAAACTTACAGTATGTGAAGGTTGAGTGTATATCTACACATTTAGAAGTGTGTTTTATTTTAAAAACAGTACAATCTGTGATAAACAGCACAGCTATTTTATTTTGATTTAGAGATTTAATTTAAGTTTAAAACTCCATTTGCTTGTCTGATAGATAATTGGAAAAGTTTGCTTGTTATTTCATACTCTTGTAAAGTTTAATTTTGAGATTATTATCTTGAAATATTATCTTACTTCTCCATAAAAGTAACATAATATCTGCAGATTTAGCTGCTTTATTTATATTTTACAGCAAAGGCTACCGTCAACTGTTTCATTTCCAAAATTCTTCAAAATATCTTCTTTTGTGTTCAGCAGACGAAAGAAACTCATACAGGTTTGGAACAACTTGGGGACGATTAAATGATGAGAGTATTTTCATTTTTGTGTGAACTATCCATTTAACAAAACGGATTCTATGCATTCTTTATTCTTGACCAGCTTCCAAACGACATCTAATCTTACGAGTTTCATCTCAATAAC